GGGAAGCAACAGCCCGCACCCTGCCGGTGGTACAGTAAGCGGAACAGACACTGACAGATGACATGAGCCCTCGACAGTGATGACTGTTGAGGCTGACAGCTTCACTTGCAGTCAATCAAGAGTGCATTCTGCACTGAGGCTGAACCAAGTGATTTCTTTTTAACATAACAGATTCTCATCTCTGAAGTAGGTTAACCAAACAACAAGAGTTACATCAGCTGTGTTTGATACCAAAGCATTATTGCTTCCATGGTATGAGTCGTCAGGAACACATATTGGCAGACAAAACAATTAAATCTTTTCATGTTGCAAAGGTATAAAATAGCCAGGTTTTGTGAAGGGTGATTAACACAAGGCTATTCAGAAGTAGCAAGGTGCCAAAGTGACTCCAGGGGGCTTCCAGCAGTCGTATTGAGCTGGAAAGAGTTTGAGTTATCTGTTGCATCAGGAATGGGGCCACACAGGTTACTAATTCAACCACGAAAACAATGTGCCACATGTTGTGAATTCATTAATTCTCCTTGCTGGATGTTCAAAAGAATGATATTAATGCCAAGGCTGCCAGTATCATATGAGCCTGCATACACCAATCTTTTTTTAAACAGACCTTTTATGTTGTCTTTCATAGTACAATAATATGTAAAAGCAATTTCAGCTCATACTAATGCTAACTTAAAGCTTTACAAATACCTATTAAAATTGAGTTATTTGAGGATTTATTTGTGTGTGACAATGCCTGTGGTGTCCAGTTTCATGGCTATGGCACATTAAGTGTGAGGACTGCACTTTTCTTAGAAAAGTTGATACAAGGTTAAACACGAGGAGCTCGAACAGTTCATACACTTCACTAACACCTTCCACCCCAACCTTAAGTTTACCTGGACCATCTCTAACACCTCTCTCCCCTTCCTGGACCTCTCTGTCTCCATATCGGGCAACCACCTAGAAACCGATATTCATTTCAAGCCCACCGACTCCCACAGCTACCTAGAATACTCCTCCTCCCACCCACCTTCCTGCAAAAATGCTATCCCCTATTCCCAATTCCTTCGCCTCCGCCGCATCTGCTCCCAGGATGAGGCATTCCACTCCCGTACATCTCAGTTGTCCTCGTTTTTCAAGGACCGTAACTTCCCCTCCTCGGTGGTCGAGAACGCCCTCAA